TAGGGCACACAGGTGAAAAGTCACTGCAGACATTGTGCAAGCAGGGGCTATTGAAGGGAGCCAAGAGTGGTAAAGTGGAATTCTGTGAGAACTGTGTACTTGGCAAGAAGACAAAGGTAAAGTTCGGGATGGCCATTCATAGGACGAGGGGCATCTTGGACTACGTACACACAGATGTTTGGGGTCCCACCAAGACGGCATCACTTGGTGGTCGACATTGGTTCGTCACGTTCATTGATGACTATTCTAGGAGATGTTGGGTGTACACCATGAAGCATAAGAGTGAAGTCCTAGATTTGTTTGTGGAGTGGAAGAAGAGATTAGAACTGCAGACTGGGAGAAAGATCAAGACGTTACGATCCGACAACGGCGGCGAGTATACCTCAGACCCCTTTCTGCAGCTATGTCGAGACGAGGGCATAGAAAGGCACTTCACGGTTAGTCATATAAATCGATCTTTGCTGAAGAAGATTCGATGTTTATTGGCGCATAGTGGTTTGGAGAAGATCTTTTGGGCTGAGGCACTTTCTTATGCGAGCCACATCATTAATAGGCTGCCTTCATCTGCGATTTAGGGGAAGACCCCTATGGAGATGTGGTCGGGAGAGACAGCACATGACTATGACCAGCTTAAGGTATTTGGTTGCCCTGCATATTATCATGTTAAAACTGATAAGTTGGAACCTCGAGCTAGGAAGGCCATATTTGTAGGATTCAAGCGTGGTGTCAAGGGATACAAGCTTTGGGATCCAGTTGATAAGAAGATTGTGCTGAGTAAGGATGTCACATTCGATGAGGCTTCTATCTTAAAGCTTCCCAGCTCTCATCAGGTGGAGAGCGACCCGACAGAGGAGATATCACAGGTGGTGGAGATTGATGCAGCTCCACAGAGTCCAGATGGTGCAGTATCCATTAGAGTGCCGACTGAGGTGACGCCAGGCGAGCACGATGGTGATACGGAGGATACGGGTACTCATGAGCAGGATCAGGGACCGATGGCTCAGGTTCAGGATTCTATTGCGGTTCGGAGACAGAGAAGAGACATACGGGTGCTAGCACGGTATGCCGACACAGTTGCATATGCACTTCCGGTGGAGAGTATCGATGAGATGGTACCTACTATATTCAAAGAGGCCGAACAGAGTTCGGAGGCTGATTCGTGGTAGGTGGCTATGCAGGAGGAGATGGAGTCCCTTCATAAGAACGATACATTGGAGCTTGTTGAGCTTCCAAAGGGGCGAAAGGCGATTGGGTGCAAGTGGGTGTACACGAAGAAGGAGGGCATTGAGGGCACTCCAGTGAGGTTCAAGGCTAGGTTGGTTGTGAAGGGCTATGCACATGAGGAAGATATTGATTACAATGAGGTTTTCTCTCCGGTGGTGAAGCATTCTTCAATTCGGATTCTGCTAGCTTTGGTGGCACAGTATGGATTAGAGTTAGATCAGTTGGATGTGAAGACGGCATTTCTTCATGGTGATCTTAATGAAGAAATATATATGACTCAGCCATTGGGATTCCGAGCTGCAGGGAAAGATAAGTTGGTTTGCAGGTTAAAGAAATCGTTATACGGTTTGAAGCAATCTCCTCGACAGTGGTATAGGCGATTCGATGATTTTATGCTTGGTCATTCGTACACTCGGAGCCAGTTTGATCCTTGCGTGTATTTTCGCAAGTTGAGAGGAGGTGCGTACATTTATTTGTTGCTTTATGTCGATGACATGTTGGTTGACTCTAGTTCCAGGTCAGCTATAGATGAGTTGAAAGTTCAGCTTTCAAATGAGTTTGAGATGAAGGACTTGGGCGAGGCGAAGCGCATTTTAGGGATGGAGATCGGCAGAGACAAGAAGAAGGGCAAGATTTGTTTGACACAGGTGGCTTATTTGAAGAAGGTTCTACAGCGATTCCATGTTAGCATGGATACGAAACCAGTTGGTGTACCTTTGGGAGCCCATTTGAAGCTTTCAGCTGGCCTTTCACCGAAGTCAGTTGAAGATCGTGAGTTGATGACGAAGACTCCATATGCGAGCGCAGTTAGGAGCTTGATGTACACGATGGTATGTACGAGGCCGGATTTGTCACAGGCTGTGAGCATGGTGTCGAGATACATGCACGATCCAGAAGTGGGTCATTGGGACGCCGTGAGATGGATTTTGAGGTACATTCGAGGTACGCTCAATGTTGGTTTGGTTTATGAGCGGGACACTACAGGTGGGCAGTTGTGCATTGGATATGTTGATTCGGATTATGTCGGGGATTTGGATAAGCGTCGGTCTACTACGGGATATGTGTTTACTTTGACCCGTGCGCCGGTGTGTTGGAGATGCACCTTACAGTCTACGGTGGCTTTGTCTACGACGGAGGCAGAGTATATGGCGGTTACGGAGGCTGTGAAGGAGGCTATTTGGCTTCGAGGACTTTTGGAAGAACTTGGTATATCGCAGCGATCCGTCACTATTCATTGTGATAGCATGAGTGCTATCTATTTGGCGAAGAATCAGGTTTTTCATGCGAGGACGAAGCACATTGACGTTCGTTATCACTTCGTTCGGGATGTTCTTGAAGATGGCGATGTGGAAATTGTGAAAGTCCACACGAAGGATAATCCGGCGGATATGCTCACTAAGGTGGTTCCGAGCAACAAGTTTGATCATTGTCGAAACTTGTTGCACATTCGTAATTGTTGAGGCCGTTGGCGGCCATTTGGATGAACTACGGGCGGCTTGATCCCTTGGGAGAGGGGGTACGTAGGCAACCACATTGGTGTAGCCGAGTTTAGAGAGACGACACATTAGTGCTCATGTTGGTGTCGGCTCAGTGTTGGGAACACTTCGCCGAGGTGGAGAATTGTGAAAACGGCGAAGGAATTGTGAAAACGGCAAAGGAATTGTGAAAAACGTGAAGAATAACCCAAAACAGACTCTACCACACCCTGGTGTGGTGTCTGCCATGGGTGTGATAGAATCTGTCCTGCACCACACCCTCTGCCACACCGGTGCAGGGTGTGGCAGACTCGTTTTTAGAATCCTCATTTGTTTGGGAATCCTCCTTTGTTTGGGATTGTGTTTTATTATAAATAGGACCACGTTTTTTAGGGTTTCTTAAGGAGAGAAAATGAGAGAATTAGCATTGTTTTGAGCACTTTGAGAGGGAGATATTGTGAGGGAGTTGAGAGCTTTGGTTAGGGTTATATTTGAGTAATTTTGTGAGTTGTAACCCGTTGTATTTCTCCTCCATATAGTGAAATTTCCTCATCCTCTCCCCGTGGACGTAGGCAATTGTCGAACCACGTATATCTCTGTGTTTGGTTTGATTTGTCGTAATTGACTTGGTTTGTGTAAGTGTGTGGCTTTCTTCTTCCGTGATCTCAAGTTCGTTGTGTGTGCGTGCAACGCTTCCGCATAGGCGCGTGACACGGAGAAATTCATCACAGTCCTCGAGTAATTTCAGCTTCTTCGAATGATGATAAACTGAAATAATCTCAAAACTAAAACAAATAAAAAAGATAATATGCTGTAAAAACATGAATCGTTAATTCGATCTACATTCACGAACATACTCCTACATATTATTACATAAGGAACAATTTACTAAACTAACACAAAACTAGAAGAACAAAGTATTATACCATCCTCTACAGCCTCACAAGTCTACGATATCTCTTGCATTCTTCCATAGATTGTTTTCCCAGAAAAAACGCCATACTCAGCCAAAAATTTCATGGATTAAAACTATTATGCACCGGTCTCCGCGGCCTCACACCAGCGTAGTCCTCTGACCACCACCACGGCGTCTTCCCTTTCTCCTCTACACTTAAAAACAAGCCATATATTTGAAGAAATGAGAAATATACGGAGGAGGAGGAGGAGGGATGGGAATAAAAACGCATACCAACAACACATACAAGCAACAAATGTAGGTAGGATGTAAACGATATTGTAAAGTTTTACCCTGTTTATGATGTTGATGGAGCATGAAGAGGCTCAATATCACCACCATCATAGTAACCAAGACATGCGTTCTAAGAATGCCCATGTTCATATTTACCCCCTCTCTCTCTCTCTCTCTCTTACTTACTAGTACCCCTCGCTCGCACGGGTCAAAAGAAAAGAGACACGAAGTCAAGTCCTATAACTATGTTTAATTAGCTTACTAGTTGCATCGTAAACCCTTAGCGTTGCTTAGGGGGAGGTCACCCTCGAGACTCATTTCCCAATGGATGAAGAAGATTCCGTTGTATCGAGCTTCTTTAATGGCCTCACCATATTTAATAGATTTTGTTTGGATTACTTCCAGAACGAACACCTTGTGTCATGTGAGCTCCACTACGAGAGCACGGCACATGACGGTCTGATTAGTTTAATCTCCTCAGGGTTAGTTTTGAGAAGCGTAGGCCTAATAATTGGCTGCGGTCATATTTTGTAGCTACATCATGTGAGGGGCGTGAAGGAGGTGAGCTCGTTTGTTTAAGGTAATTCACAGCCCTGGACAAAAAGAAGGTTCGCGTTGGGGTGACATGAAATGATTGTAGAATTGAATCAGCATGTGACCAGCATGCTCCCGAAATAAATTGCTTGTTTTAAGATCAAATCCAGCTGCCAGTTGAAGAATCAGTAAGAGGATCAGGTTTTATTCACAAGGCATCTTTACTAATAATGAGGTGCGTTAGACTGGGGGCAACTCTCTTTTATCTGTTGAGAATCTGATTGTCAAAGGCTTAATTAAATGGGGTCTCGTTGCAATATGTACCGAGCAACTTGCCATTTGTGTATTATCTATGTAGCTATCTATCACGTACAGTCTTGTACCAATTCCTCCACAAGAAACTTCCAACAGATAATAGATGACGGAATAAAATATCCATAGCGATGCTTAAGGATCAGTAAAAACTGCACGATTAGGCAAACTATAAACACGGCCCAGGATAGGTAGAATTTTCTCAGCAGCTACAGGATAGATCAGTCTCCTAACTAAACTGAATTCATATTGAGCACCTGATATATATATATATATATATATAAAACCTAAAACAAGTTTTATTTTTTACTCTACAGTTGAAGAAGGCTCGCTCTGGCCAAATATGTTAGGAATTCCATCCCAATTTCCTCCTTCTCTTGCTTCCCAGTATCCTCCAAGATAACGATAAGTGTCGTCCTCTCCATCTTTTCTAAACCACCTCGGTTGCCATCCCTTCTCTTGCAATTTCCTCGCCTAGTCACAAGATGGTACACATTATTAAAAAAATGGCCTATAGAGAAATATCATAACCTGTATCCAAACTTGTCACAGCAACAAAAATACAAAAGAGTTGATTCATTTTTATAAATAGGATTAAAAAGTTAAAACACTACCAATTTTTCACTCAGTATATAAGGTAACATATAGCATGAAAAATGATCTACCTAATAAAAATTATAGTTGAATTCCTTTTAGGTTTTTGGATCAAAAGATCTGCACCTTTTGATATATTATGGAATATGGTTACTTTTCGATTTTAAGAAATTCAATAACGGAAATTACAGAACAAAAGCATCCCATTGAATGATGGATGCAAGAAAACATATCAAACAATCTCCAAAAACATGATATTACTGATTCCATGTGTGTGATATCTATGACAAATCTAAACCAAACTTTGCACAGTATGTCACAGGTCATGAGCATATGCGAATGAATTTATCGACTTAAAAACTGGAATTCAGTGTATCACAGAAAGAAAAACATAAGAAAATGTTGCACTAACAGATCACACTTAATTGAAATCCAATTAACTCTTATTTTTTAGCATTCAATCATATGCAAAAAGGTCTAAGATGGATCCAATTAACTCTTTTAACACATTTTAGATTTTTTTTTTTTTTCTTCAGAGAGATTGCATGTGAGATTTGAGTTGCAATTGGGACAAGGGTGTGAGAGTTATTGACATTTATGTTCCTCAGGATTAGTTTAGTAAAGCTCAAATACTCCACCCGTGGATGTAGGTGGAAAGTCGAACCAATTTATAGCTTTCTATAACATTGACATCTACTATTAAAGCTCCTAGGATCAAATACTCCACCCGTGGATGTAGGTGGAAAGCCAAACCAAATTAAAGCTCAAATACTCCACCTGTGGATGTAGGTGGAAAGCCGAACCAAATTTAAAAAAAAAACTTCCTAGGTTCTAGTCATCAGGTCCGACGCCTAGACCTCCTAGCACTTTCTATAACCTTATTAGTTATTATTTTGGCTATTTAGTATTTAAGTATGCATGATTATTGTTGATCTAAGATTGTTATCTTTTTTATAAATTTATATGAATTTAATACATATTTTTATCAATTATGATAATTAAATAATTTTAAAAATAGTCAAATGCCTAGGCATCGCCTAGGAGTACGCCTAAGCATCTATGTGCTAGGCGCTGACTCAAACACCTAGTCCGTCTAGCGCCTTCTGTAACATTGGTGGTGGCATAGACGTTGCGATGACATCCGACGTGGCTCATGCACCATCAACATTTGGGAGGAGTTCAAGACCGAGATCAAGAAGTAGTTTTATCTGAAGAATGTCGAGGACGAGGCTCGGGGAAGCTTTGTCGCCTTACACAAAAAGACACGATTCGGGACTATGTCAAAGAGTTCTCAGAACTATTGCTGGAGATTCTAAACATGAGCAAGAAAGACTCTTTTCTCATTCATGAATGGCCTAGCTGCGCAGGCCAAGATGGAGCTACTGAGGCGACGTGTTCAGACCCTTGCACAAGCGATGGTCGAGGCCGAGTCCCTAATCGAATTCAAGAAGGGAGACCCGTCCAAGCCCAAGGACAAAGACAAAAAGGGTGCGAAGCTAGCCAAAAGTGGGGGAGATAAGGAGAAACAGACCAACAAAGAAGCCCCATCTAAGACCAATGTTTAAAATAGCATAAATGCAGAGCGAAGCGCTAGACCCTTTGATGAAGCGAGACATAAGCTTTACATGAGGCGTATGCTTCATGAGTTTAAGCATTTTAATTTTAAATTTGTAGAAATTATGAGCATATAATATATACTGGTATGATAATTAGAAATGGTAAAATGATCAAATTGGTATATTTTGTAGACACTAAGTGACAGACTAGTATATTTTTTTGGCTTTGGACAAAATGGTATATTATATAGACTCCGACGCCATATACCCCTCAAGTTTGGCCAGATTGATTTTTCCGACTAGTTTTCTCACGTGACGACTCACATGTTAGCAGGATTTATTGCACAAAACCCCCTCAATCTAAACTCAATCTCAATTTATTGCACAATACCTCCTCTAACCCCTCTGTTGCTTGACGACATTCTCTAAATATCACCTGTAAGTCTCCCCCAACCCCTCTCTTAACCTAATCTTTGCACTCCACCCCATCTTAGCCAGCTTCGAGCTATCCATGAGCTTCCTCGGTGTCCCATCAGGCTTCGACGAGTCCCAAACCAACTCCCCTTCAAACCCAACCACTTCCTTCACCATCTCTGCAAGCTCCTTAATAGTCCCAAACCAACTCCATCCACGGCGAACCAAAGCAGGTAACGGACAAAAGGCTAAAATGGGTTCAACCACACTCAGCCTTTGTTCCCTATTGCTCCTAAATCAACGTCAAAGCCCTTCAGTCAATTCTCTCATAATTTTCTTCTTTTGGTTCTCAGTCACCCCAAAGGAAATTAGAAAGAAAAAAAAATAAAAATGAAGGGAAAAAAATTAAAGGTAGAAGCACCAAAGGACTGATCTTTTTCTAAAATAGAACCGCGACAACAGAGGCACGCCAAGAGAGATCAAAATTTGAGAAAATCAACCCAACTCAACCAACAAAAATTCTCCACAAAACCCATCAAATTCCCTCGCCAGAAACAACAGATCAAAATTTGAGAAAATCAACCCAACCCAACCAACAACAAATTAGGCTTATAGAGGATCAAATCGAGACCAAAACTGATGGGTTTTTTTATGGATCGAGATGGACCTTTAGCTTCGGCCTTCTGCTTCTCGAGGTTCCTCTCGCAAGCCATCTTGGCCTTCTGCCCATTGCCTCCCCCCATTTCCGATCTCGATGCTAGGGTTTTCTCATGAAATCTTCGAATCAAAACAGGTAGCAAATGGGAATAATCATGGTGGAAGTTATCAAGGCCCCGGTGAAACCTAGGGTTTTGAGGCGGCGGTAGATGGCGGGTCCGACGAGGCACCGATGAGGGTAATTTACCTGCTTCAAAAGAAAAGCGTTTTATAAAGCGTGAAGCGCATGCTTCAATTATAATTTGAATGATGAGGCATAAGCTTCAAGGGATAAAGAGCTTCACTCTTGAGTTTAGAAGCATTTAGACTTCAAAAAGTTATGAAACGAATTTCGAAGCGAGTTTCGAAAAAAGCTTTTTCAAATATTGCCTAAGACACTGTTGTCAAAGGGCAAGTTCTTCAATTAGTTCAAGTCTATTGGTGATCGACCGTGAATATCGTGCTACTTTTGTGAGGGACGATACAAGGCCATGGACTGTCCTAAATAGGCTAACATTGTTGCAATAGTTCAACGAGAAGAGGAGAAGCAGCAGGAAGAGTCTTGGCTAAGCTCGTTGTGGATCCTCAATGCCATCATGCCAAGGAGGACGAGTGGCCGAGAGGGCTAATGTTCGTGGAGACAACCATTGCAGATAAGACCTTTAAAGCCTTGGTCGATACTAGTAGTGCTTTCAATCTTCTTGTCACGTATGTTGCAGCGAAGAAGCTAGGATTTGTGCGTCAAAGTCGAATAGCGCCATCAAGGCAGTGAACGCGGAGCCCACATCCATCATTAGCATAGCTCACAAGGCAGATGCGAGCATGGGTAAGTGACGTGGCTAAGAGGACCTAACGGTTGTGACAATGGATGATTTTGAGCTGGTCATTTTCTTGGAGTTCTTAAACAAGACCAAAGTCGTTGTAGTTCCCTACACCAACACTATGTGCCTATTGGAGGGTAAGGCGTGCATGATCCCGATCGAGCGAGAGAGGAGCATTTCAGGCAAAGTCCTCTCTGCCTCGCAGATTTCTCTACTTTGCAGATTTCTAAGGGCATTCGGAGACATTTGCCGACCTTCATCGCTATACTTAAGGTGAAGGAAGACTCTCCTATAGAGGAGGAAGTCCTAAGGGAGATTAAGACCGTCTTGGATGATTTCTAGGACATAATGCCAACCAAGTTGCCCAGCAAGCTACCACCTAAGAGGGATGTGGATCACAAGATCGAGCTTGAGCCAGGAGCTCGACCATTGGCTGCAGTCCCTTAATGTATGGCACCACCGAAGTTGGAGGAGCTTTGAAAACAGCTAAAGGAGTTGCGGGCTACGTCTGATCATCAAAAGCTCCTTACGGTGCACCTGTCTTATTCCAGAAGTATCATATACCATTGGTGGCAAACTTGTTCGATAGATTGGGCCAATCAAGGTACTTTACTAAACTGGATCTTAGATCAGGCTACTATCAAGTGCGACTCGAGGAAGAAGATGAACCAAAGACGACATGCGTGACTCATATGGATCATATGAGTTCCTTGTTATGTCTTTCGAACTACCAAATGCACCTGCTAGTTTTTGCACTATGATGAACAAGGCCCTAGAGCCCTTTCTAGACCGGTTTATGGTGATCTACTTGGATGATATTGTCATCTACAACTAGCAATGAGCACTTGGCCAAGGTGTGCTAAGCGTTAAGGAGCAACGAGCTCTACATCAAGAGGGAGAAATGCTCCTTAACCTAGGAAAAGGTAGCATTACTTGGGCACATCATTGGGAGAGGCAAGATCAAGATGGATCGAGCCAAAATTCAACTGACGAGTGAGAACCACCAAAAAAAGATGACAGAGTTCCAGTTGTTTCTTGGCTTGGCAAACTACTACCGACAGTTCATCAAGGGCTATTCAACTGTGTTGGCTCCGTTGACCAACTTATTAAAGAAGAACCTAATGTGGGATCGGGACCCTAAGTGCCAAGAGGCTTTCGAAGTCTTGAAGGTCGTAACGGGATAGTCGGTTGTCGCACTTCTTGATTTCATAAGTCATTCGAGGTGCACATCGACGTGAGCAATTTTGCTATCGGCAAGATGTTGATGTAGGAGGTACGCCCCATTGCTTATAAGAGTTAGAAGCTTAATGACACCGAGCCTAGGTACACAGTCTAGAAGGAAATGATGACGGTGGTTCATTGCTTACGAACCTAGAGGCACTACGTATTAGGCTCCAAGTTCGCGGTAAAGACAGATAATGTCACCACTAGCTACTTCTAAACCTAAAAAAGTTGTCACCAAAGCAAGCACGGTAGCAAGACTTCTTGGAGAAATTTGACTACACTTTGGAGTACAAGCCAAGAAGAACTATCTTGGTGGCAGATTCCTTGAGCCAGAAGGCCGAGCTTGCTGCAATGGTTAGCCAACCACAGAGCCCACTATTAGACGGCATCAAGGAGGGCTTGGCACGGGATTCTACGGCTAAGCCCTTGATGACCTATGCTACGGAGGGCAAAACGAGGAAATTTTGGCTCGAAGACGGCTTACTTCATAGCAAAGGGCGACACTTATATGTGCCTCGGTTCGGGAATATAAGGCAGGAACTCTTGAAGGAGTGAAATGACTCTCAATGGGCGGGACATCCAGGTGTGCACCACACTTTGGCTCTCTTGGTCGATACCTACTATTGGCCTCACATGCGAGACGAGAAGATACGGAGGCCTATGTCAAAACTTGTCTTGTGTGCCAACAAGACAAGGATCAAAGAGCATCGGCGGGATTACTTGAACCACTACCCACTCTAGAGTGACGAATGGAGTGACCATGGGAAAGCATATTCATGGACTTCATCATTGATTTGCCTAAGTCAGGCGGTGTTGCATCATAATGGTGGTGTTCAATTGGTTCTCTAAATACGGGATTTTCATTCCCGCTCTAGCGTAGCGCCTAGCAGAAGTGGTTGCCCCTTTGTTCCTAAAGCATGTGGTGAAGAATTAGGGGCTACCTTGGTCCATTGTGAGCGACCGTGATGCTATATTAACGGGCAAATTCTGGTTCGAGTTGTTCAAAGTGATTGGATCGGACCTAAACTTCTCCACCAGTTTCCACCCTCAGTCAAATAGGCAAACAAAATGGGTGGACGACTTATTGGAGGTCTACTTGAGGCACTATGTGAGTGCCAATCAACGAAATTAGGCTAAGTTGCTTGACATAGCCAATTTTCCTACAACTTGCAGCAAAGTGAGTCCACGAGAAGGAGTTTGTTCAATATCGTGCTTGGTAGCCAACCCTTAACTCCGAACAGCATCGCAATGGTCTACAATGAGAGTAGTCCAGTGGCCTATAAGTTTATTAAGGCATGGCAAGAACAAGACGAGCTGGCGCGTTCATGCTTCAACAAGGCTGCAAAGAGGATGAAGAAATGTGCCGACAAGAAACAAAGGCACATGTCCTACCAAGTTAGAGACTTGGTTCTTGTCAAACTATCTACACTTGATCGGCACATGGGGTTGCACAAGAGTTTGCTAAGTAAGAGGGCGCATTTCTGATTATGAAGAAGGTAAGGAATAACTTCCCCTAACACTCCACTACCATCCGGGTCTTCCACGCGAGCATGTTGAAGCCATATCACAAGGATGTGACGACCCGAGCCGCTAGAGATCAAGTCGAGCACCTACCGGAGTTCGCATGGAGTTCGACAAGGAGGCTGAGGAGATATTGGCAAATAGGATGGTTCGTGAAGGGCACAATCAGAAACGACTTGAGTACTTCGTTCATTGGAAGGGTTTGCCCGAAAGCAAGTGTAGCTAGGAACCAGCCAAGACTTGCGGCAATTTGAAGACCTAATAGAGCGCTTCAAGAGGGAGAAAGCGCAGGGATGAGAGCATCACCAGAATGAGTGGGGAAGAATGTCACAGATAGTTTTTTATAGCCAAGTCAATGCTCACATAAATGCCACATCAGCCAGATTCTAGAATGTTCATATATATTCTTGAATATTCTTGTGTGTTCTTGTAAATAAGATATTTGTACAGAATTCTCTAGAGAATTAATCTTGGCTATTAGATGTATAGATTTCTCTAGAAGAGAAATCTAGGTCGTTTATGTAAAGGGAACCTCCCCTATATAAGGAGACCAATGGGAGCTCATTTGTATCCAGGCAAGTTTGCGCTAAGAAAAATTTTAAGTTTCTCTTAAAATTTTCTTGCTTTTTTGAGTGCTCGGTTTGGTAGGCTGAACTTAGCCATTCTAGTGAGTCAAGAGTGAGCTAAGAGCCGCACGGGAAGGCTATTTGTTGTGCCAAAACAAAGCGCCTGTGACACACGTGTGATGCATGGCACTTGCGTGATGTGCGTGTTTCCATCAGAAGTGTGTGTACCAGTATGTTTGCACCATGTATGTGTAGTGGAGTGGTTACAAGTACATTCCTACATCTTATCTAGTTTAGTTATGCGCAATTACGAAACCATGTACTGCAATGGAATTAGATAATTCACAATGTTCATACTGCTTTACACATTTAGTAAGTAAAAAGTCATGCAAAGTTGTAAATGTAGAATTTTGAACACTCCACCTTAAATAGACATGCCTACAAACTAGTATCAAGGAAAAAAATCCAGCCAGATTTATCACATTGTTAGAACGCCACATCATTTGGAGCAAATATGCCTGCATATCACGTAAATTACTAAAATAATCAGCAAGTCTTGTTCTTGAAGTTGTAGGTTATTTCCTATGTAACCAGGAGAATATAATTTGTTGTGTTAAAAGTCCTAATGCAGTTTTTACATGATTCAGGCATTGAATTTCTAACACATTAGAACTAAAGCATGGATGAAGATACCTGTCTTTGTAACTGTTCCAGCCTAAGTTTCTCCGCATTTGCCATCTCATATTCACCATTCTCTAAATGCTTCTGATCAGGCCGTAGGCGAGAGTCAGTTGGAGGCAACTTCTCTGAGAGGCTAGTTGTCAACTCATTGAGAGAGATAGCAAAGGGAGTAAGGTTGTACCGAGTTTGCGTCACAGACTTGTCTCGCTCCCAGAGAAGAGTAGCCTCTGACATGGGATCATACCCCTTGGGTTTGGTACTTGGATCTCCAAGTACATAATACATGGCTTCATCCCATTTGCCCATCAACATTGCTACCTTTTTCCCCGTATTATTATCTTGTACAAATCCGTGAACCTGCATATCAAAATGAACCAAATTAATAAGGAAAGATGATCACAACTTAAGAGACAATTAAACATGAAAAGTATGACCATTTATATGATATATATAAATATGCAAGATCATGAAATATGAAATGGAGGTAAGAGAAGTTGGTAAACTTGTAAGGAGATCTGCCATTCTACTTTAACATAATTCGTTGCAAGCTGTTAAACAGTGCATAGTAACTGATTCAAGTAAAAAACCCAATTCCATTAAACTTTTTAATATGAACTTCCCATTCATGAAGCTCCATGCTCAAGCAAGTTTGTTTTGTCATCTAATTCACTCAAAATCCAACCCTCCATTTCAAATAAACAAAAACGATAAATAGGGTAAACCAATCCTTTTATTATGATTGGAAAAAGGCACTATTAAGATCTTAAGGCACATCAAATTTGGCCATTGGAGCTTTATATACTGTAATATTTTCTCTTGTGAAAGACTACAGTTGTAAAATGAAAACAAGAAGCTGAAAAAGAGGGCTTCCACCACAAATACTTGGTAAGATCAGAAGTATAAAGAGAGTTCATTGGTCTTCAGAAAAAGTAGATCCAACAGTTGTATCAAAAAATATATCGTATTATGTGATAAATCCATATTCCTTTTCCAAATAGATCTAGATATCATTGCTTGTGTGTGCGCATGCACACCTTCTTGGAATAAAGCTAGATGATATTGCTTATATAGAGCAAGAGTGTGTGCGTGTGCTTGCGCGCGTGCATTTGTGGGTGCGCGTGTGGGCGTGTGTTGTGTGTGCGTGGGTGTGCATGTGTTGTGTGTATGTGGGTTGGTGGGTGTGCGGGTGAATGCTTGTGCGTTTATGTGTGGGTGGGCCAGTTTGTGTCAGCTCATTTTGCAAAATAAACTGCCAGGAAATAGATTGCTGGTGAGCGCAATCCTATTAGATACATAAAAGGTTTACCTCACTACTTATATCTCTTGCTAGATTATTTCTTTCACTAACTTAGGTGGCAGCCTATATACAGTACCTTCATTTAGCAAAATGAACTCAAGAATGTTTGATGAATATGAGTTGGCACCTCATTTAGTAAAATGAGCTATTATAAGATAGAAATGGTGAGAAGTACATGCTCCAATATGACTAGCAGGACAGGCCCCACCACCAGGCTACCTCTTGGTGCTAATTTAGCAAATTGAGTTGTCACCGCATACCTACTCTTTCATATATTATATAGGAGATACTAGATATAAATATGAATAATGGATATGTGATGGCAACTCATTCTGCTAAAGAGCTACTTTACAGTTTCACAGAAAGCCTATTGATGTCCAGGAAGTTAGCAACAGCCTTGAGTATTGATGTTAACTTGAAAAACTAGTTGTAAATTTGATCAATCATGCCATGTAGCCATGTAAATTATGATCCCTAACCAATCCACTCATCAGAAAGGATTATGACAATGATTATGACAGTATTGCCAGAATTCCAGTATCTTGAATTACTCCACTATCATTACAAGGCTAAGCAAATCTACACGATAATACTCCATAGTTAAAACATTTCCATCATTCAGGCAGTCACTGACCATACCTGGTGGGGATTTCGGTCGATGATTGATTGTTCTTTAAATTTGAGCTTGCAGGAGTATTGACCACTACCCCGTATTCTCATAGTACCATAGTGATCACAGTAAATTTTTCCTAGTATTATATTATAAATAGAAGTGGTGACTTTACTCCACTGAAACATCTCTCCATCGTCAAACTGAAGGGTTAAAATGCCAACAGGATCAAGCTGAATAGACCGACCCCAAAACTTGCCTTTCAGATTCGAATCACCCCAGAATTTCCATCCTCTGCCATCGCAATGACAAGCAACTATCATTGGGTGGTGACTCACCTGGAAAAGAAACATCATTAGGACTAAAAAGAAACTGAATATCTTAATTCCAGGCTGATGTCAACAAAGAATTAGATGCAAGCTTAAAAAGAAAGGAGCATTCTTGTGTCGGACTTTGAGAAGAGTCAATGATTAAGAGTCACCATAATAAACTCGAATGTACATCCAAATTTGCTGGGAAAAAACTGGTTTTTGAAAGGAGAAGAATAAAGACACAAACTACCTTTTCAGAGAAGAAACGAAGACCTTTATCAGGATAATCAGCCTCATATGTCTCCCCAAGGAGAGGGTTAAAGGGTTTGCACTGCCTGCCTTCTGTTGAAGCATAGCCAGATACAGCAAAAGCTGCAATGTGAAGAGTTCTCATTAAGCTGTTGCCCTGCAAAAGACATGTGGTTACTTTTCTCATATATAACTAATGGAGCGTAAGAATGCACTAAACCTTCAATTATAGGAAGCTGTAAGAATTCAAGAGAACTTTTACAGAAAAAGTATCTCCCCACACCCAAAAAACAAGCCATGCAAGAAAAAGAAAGAAAAAGGGGCCAGGTATTTTGTGGAGTGGTCAATTTCCTTCGTAAATCCCATCATTATGCAGAAACCATGATGACATGGTGTTCTCATCAAACTTTATTGTAAGATGAAACAATTGAAGTACTAGTCATATCTTCACGCCTAAAGCTGGTTGTCCATCTGAATAATTACTGGGCAACCATTATAGATACCAAGCGCACTACAAACATATACTATGCACATTCTGTTAGTCTAAATCTTTTTGCACTGTGCACCCATGAACTGTAAGTTATTGTGAGCATTCTAACAAAAGTTATCTTTCAACTTGAATAATTTTTTTAAGACGTCAAAATAGCATCACAGCTGCTGGCCATCTGATGAAGAGACTAGAAGTATTTGCATAAGCTACTCAAAGAAATCTAAATCTAAATCATATAAACATAAAAACAAGATACTACATTATGCAACAACAAATAGATATGTTACTATTGTTTCCTAGATATCAAAATAAAGCCAGTCAAGATAATATACATTTCTCTTCCAATGACAATAAATCACAAGAAGGATATGATGATACTTAAAGTGCCCATATGATACTCAAACCAAATTAACTAGCAAACTGTTATAGAATTTAAATACTACGGTACTGATAGATTTAATTCAGTTCTATATTTTCCTAGAGAAAACTGTCAATTTGAATACACTCGAGCTACATAAATTAGTAGGAAACTTGTCTGATAAATTTTAATGCTAAGGTGGTGACATTTAGATCACTTCTATCTTTTTCTAATATAACCATCAACTTTGAAATACATATGTTACTAGTTAGTATGAAGTTCATATAGCTAATGAATGTTAAACGCCATAACACATGGAAGACAAACTAATCCATGCAATCTATATGACATGCATAAATCCAACATGGACACAATATTCAAAAGAATATTACCACAATAGAAAAGATAGTAAAGTGAAAGATGAAAATTTTATATACCACAATCTTAGGAGTTATACATTTACAATACAATTTTAGTACTAAATTTACATGAAACGTCAACTAGTTATGACCGAGTTAATTAATAACCAAGAAATAGACATCAGGAACCAGCTAGTCCCAGGCATCAAATACTAGAAGACAATATAGACATTAAGAAATAGGAAAGAAAAATGTTGATTAAGTTCTCTGAAGAATGTTAGCTCAAAGTGGAATGCAGCAGGGACGGGATTTTCATCTACCGCTTATGCATATTCTACTGTTTGTTGCCAAACTAAAAGAAAGATAAGTCTGCAATCAGAAAGATAAAACTAGTCGGATGTGTTCTCAGAACTAGGTAAAATGTTCGAACTAGATGAATAGATGGCACAAGTGCAACTAATCATTGAGTAGCATCCTTATATTAATCAGATTATACACTAAACAAGACATTTTAAGAACTTGTTGAGTAAGAATGCTGTAAGAAAGACCTGCTTTCCCCATTCTGATGCTCGATCAACTAAGTACGAGTACTCCAGATCTTCAAAGCACTTTTGCAAGGAAGAAAGTGGCTCATTGAAATATACAGGAAGGCAGACACCAGATAGATCTTTTCCAATATTTTCTTTAATGATTGACCATAAGCCTACAGGTCTCTCTTTCTCCTTTGGATCAGGCAATTTTTCCCTCCGTTTGACATAAGGGTATTCTACAGTTTTGACACCCATATTGATCTCTTGCCCAATTTCTGGTGAAAATAAACCATTTCCTGCTAGTTCCCTACTACGATAAGAAGCACTTCTTAGGGATTCTGTAGACAAGAAGTCCTTCGTATCAAAATAAAGCCCATCATCTTCATCTGTTTCCCCATCTGCGCATTGACTTTCATTGTCTACATCAGAATCAGATGCACTTCCCTCCGACAAAACTGAATAGAAATCTGTAACATGAGCAATAACATGTATTTATGAGTGTTGTGCCTTAAAACCAATGATAATGATCATTATTGTAATACCACGATTAAAATAATATCATAAATCAATGCACATTGACAAGGAATATTATTTTAAGACAGTCATCTTTCTCAAAACATGCACCATCCTAGGTGTCATCGTAGGTAACTACATAAGCTGGATGTTTAAATCTGACAATGGACCATCCTTATGGATATGATCCACTCGATTCATCATAATCTACAAGTTAATGGTTATGTCCAAAAACAAGCACTTTTAAAACTTTTTAACCATTCATCAACTACTTTGAGAAAGAATGGTATTTTAATATTAGAAAAAATAACGTCACCTGATCAACTGTGAAAAGTGAGCAAGTCACATGATTTTTACATGTAACCATTTTAGAAATGTAGATCATGATGAATAGGGATAGTATCAGTAGGAATGGTCCATGATAACGTTTTGAGCCCTTTAGATAGCTATATAAAGTGTCACCTTACGAAAGTTTTTACTTAGTTCATATTTGTTTGCGTGTGTCAGTGTGCAATGTATGTGTATGTATTGTGGGTGTAGGGGCGTGTGTTGGGGTGTGTGTGTGTGTGTGTGTATTTATTTATATATGCATATATGTGGCAAGGCTGAAATACACATAAGAGTAAACCATACAATTTTCTTTGCCACAAACTAGGAATTAAATTGAGCAACTCCACTGGAATACAATTAGCTTACTAAAGTTGAATATGTGGTGTGAAGTGGTAGGTGTAACTGACTTAAGTTATATATGTGCATTGTATATCTGCCTTATTTGAGTAATAATTATGTGTGCATGTGCATAGATGCAATATGCGTATGGGTGTATAATTAATCTCATACTTACAGAAGCAATTGGCTTTATCTAGCACTTCTTTATTATCTCTTCCACTGACATAGTTATAAAAAAATAAAAAAAAGAACTTGATAAGGGTTGAGATGACCACACCAGAAAGTTACCACTTACCAACACTTACTAACACTTACCAACCTCCGTGCGGTAAGAACCCCACACATGCAGCAGGTGACCTTGAAAACCAATTCTACAAGAATTGTATGTGTCCCATTAGGTATGGGATTGATGGGATTTCCCTTAAGAAAATAAACGAAGGATTGTTGGTGTCTGGTGTCCTGTAATAAAACCCCTACAACAGAGATATCCAAAGCCTAAGAAGCCACACAAAGAAAAATAGGCGCTGATGTTTGGCTGCAGCAAACCAGTAGCAAAATATAGAGAAAGAAAAAGGCTAAGGTTTCTTCCTTTTGGTTCTTTGGTGAGAGACCAGTCGTGAGAATTAGTGCCTGGTTATTCTTATGAGCGCTATTCCCTTCTCCGTTTCTTGATCTCGGTATGGTGGATCTCTCCTCTTCTCCTCGCCCGTGAATGTACACCATAGAACCGAACCACATGAAACATTGGTGTCTTCTTGTGATATGTTTTTATTTTGAATATTCTGCTGCATATTTTGTGCGCTCGTTTGATATATCTAATCCAAAAATAACAAGTTGAAGACGAATGGTGCAAAATGAAAGGCATGTTCCAGATGTAAAGAGAAAAAACAATAGCTCTTAAGAGCATTAGAAGAGACAAGTAGGTAGAAAAGGTCCATGGTTTTTCTCAAGGGACATAGACAAACTAATTTCTACAACTTGATTGGTAGCATGGTGTGCTTCCTTTGATACAATAAAGAAAAAGGTGAAAGACACCTCACAGCTTCACTATTGAATCACGTGTGAAAAGCTAAGTCCAAGAAAAGTTATGAGAATTAACGAGTGCAAGCTGAATTTTTGTAAATATTGCATTATGGAAAAGCCTGATAGAGTTTATTACTGAAATTCGTGAGAATGATGGCTAATTAGATTACATGCATTAAAAAGTGTGGGAACCTATGCTAATAGAATCTAGACCGTGTCATTCGTCACTTTCATGCATGCCTTCTCAAAAAGGTATGGGTCAACTTCCTAGTTGACAGATTTAAGAAGTGAAAATCAATCATGAGAAACAACAAGGTGACAAGTGAAATAATTTAACTGACAATGAAGGTGACCGCGCGTCACAGAAGTCTGACGGTTATGTGGCTGACAAGGCATTGGACATCAGTTCAAGGTTTCAGTGCGACCAAAACAGAATAGCTTACAAGAGCACATGAATTGGACATTATTGCAGAGAACCATAAACATAAACTCCATGTGGACCTGTCTAAGGACATCTAAAGGAAGATTGGATGGGGCAGTCAGTCATTTATGATCACTGGGGGGTGTTTGGATGTGTGTCAAGACTTTTGCACGTTAAAACAAAGAAAGAACCAAGCTAGACATAAAGTCACCTGTTCATTGGATTCAGGAAAGCAGTTACAAAGCTATAAACTATGGATTCAGAAAATAAGAAAGCACTTGTCAGAAATATGACTCTATTGATGCGTCTAAGTTGAAAGATGTCAGTAAAGATTCATAGAAGACAGAAGTAAAGGACATGGAAAGACATCCAACATAGTTAATTGAAGAGTTAATGAGTTATTGCATAGTTCCTACCTAAAATTTGATCATTTTTTGAGCATGGAAACTATTGCATGCCAAAGACCTTCCAGCACAAACTGGTGAGGAGCTTTCACTTTTGGATTCATGCACATTTCTCCCTTTTAAGTATTGATTATTATGACTCCTATCCATCTGGAGATGATTGTTCAATACAAGTACGACTGTTATCCTGTACAAGCATTAGTAGGCACTAAAAAACCAGCCTAGTACTAGCCTAACCCCATCACTCTTAGCTAAGAAGCTTTTACTACAGTTTCCTTCTCAAATTTAGAGCAACAAATACAAACTCAATCAGTTGTCAGGAACTATAACATGCCGCCACCTTTCTAGGACGCACTAAGTAACAACAAGTGTGGTAAGTACTCCCATGTTCCACAACAAAATACTGTTGCCTTGAAAATATTGCACAACAAACAAGAGTAAGAGAAAAAATGTTATAAATTTTATATCAATACTGAAAATAAAACTATGATGAAAAATATGTGAGTGCATATAGATCACTAAATTATATGGAGCTACATCTTCAGTTGTTGTGAAGTAAAATATATGTCTTAGTAACTACTGACCGCTTAGTCGTCCATTCCCCTGTCCAGCATGTGCTTCACGCTCTTTTGTTTCATCCACTACAGTGGTTTCAAGCTCTACTTTCTCAGTCTGCAGTTAAAGATGTGTTATAAGGTTCCTTCCAAGAATCCAATTATAAGTTCTAATTCCCCATTGACGGTGTAAAAGAGGAACACGCTAAGATGGTAATGTACTGTCTCTGCTTAGTGTATTACAATCGCGTGAGATATAATGCATATGCATTCAGCTCTTTCAAGACTTCAAAAAAAATAGGAAAATGGGAGTTTCTGAGATATATATCCCTCAAATCATCCATATTTGCTAAATCATCCCCCCAAATCTCAGGAATTGTAAAACCCACAACTCAATTCTTGGGTGTTTTTACCCCTTTGCCCTTCCTCAAAACAACGAAGACACAAGGACAACAGCTTTGGGGGGCTATTAAAATTGGACGGATCAGGAGTGGAGGACAGAGGGGGGTGCAGTTGAGGGAGAAGATAAGAGTGTGTGCTCAGTGAAGGTGGAGGTTCTGTGGGTGATCTTTTGGGGTTGATCCATTGGTCATGTTTTCCTGGGGAGGGGGATGACGTTGGGAAAGAAAAAAGGTTGGGGCTTTAATAAAGAAACATGGAAATTGTTAGGGTTAATTAACATTTGGGTTATTTAGTCATTAGTTTGACATGCAAGAAGGAATATTATGAGAATATTCCACAACAGAGTTAAGTTGGGGGTATTTTTTTCCAATGTTGAAGAATTGGGAGGTAGTTTTGCAAATACTAAGATATGGGAGGCATTTTACAAATATGTGGATGATTTGAGGGGTATATATACAAAAAAAAACCTAGAAAACAAGGTGAATTTAAAGATGAAATCAGAAGGAAGCATAAATACACTTGTCACATAAACCAAAGAATGAAATTGGAAACAGAAGGGAAGTGCTGATCAAGGACAGCAAGGATCAAAGTGAAACCAGATTTACCTCATAACTATATGGCAAAATATTAGAAGCTTAGAACTATATCAATTGTCGTAGTCCTAATGACTTATGGTTAGTTATGGGATAAAATAATTAAAAAGGAATAAAGGTTTTTTAGCAAGAATGTTACCTCCAACTGCCTTAATGTGTCAAGTAAAACGATGTGCTTTTGATGAAGAGACTTTAATTGGTTCTGCAGCTCTGTGAATTCAGATAACATAATTGACTCACAATCTTTAACTGCTCCTTCTTTGAGACCTTCCTGTAGCAACCGTTCTCGCAACTTCTCCGTGGAAACACTAAAGTCAATGGTTGGTGCAAGGTCACTGCTTGACAGCATACGAGGTATGAGATCTTTAGCAGACAACAATGCTTCGATCCATGCACTTCGGTCCTCTCTAGAATCACAACGCAAATGTAGAGTCTTAGTGCCCGAAAAGATATATAACCTTTTATCATCTGACTTGCTTGCACGAACCGAAGAAACCTGTATTTGATATTAAATATTCACTCATTATTGTAGGAGCATTTGGATGGTTACTACTTCAATACGATCATAAAGAAAGTGACAATGTAGCTTGTGAATCGATAAGCCTATGACGGAACTTGTTATTTTCCGGTAAATTTGGGAACTTAACACATTAACTTAATAGCGCATCACCCCCAATATGTTACAATCTAAAGTGGCCTCATTGTAGTCACCTTTTAGAACGTGATTCCATTTGCCTATTGGGCTTCTTTTTACCTTTCCTCTCAATCAATGCAATTTCCTAAGCAAATCATCATCTCGCGTTTTTGTCTTGACTTTTCTATGGTGCTGCAGTTGCAATTTGGCTGCATAGCCTACTGCAAGATCAGAAAGTTAGTCTCTGTGTCAAGGTTCTTATGGCACGTCCCTCTCTCATACACAATGCGAGATTGCAATCCATCACAAAAGAACTAAGTCATCTTTTTCTGCAAGGCATTTGGGACATACTCCATAGATAATCATTTTGGATGGGAAAAGGCCTATATGAAGATGAATGGTGATGGCGTCAAATCAACCAATACGATAAATTGATCCATACTATTTATATAAGAGGATTGGAATGTTAAAACTTTTGATTACCTCTTTTACCCTTTCAAATTTTGATAGTTTCCAATAATGTCTTGAAATTTATTCAATTCATTCCATCTATTATACTATAATTATTCTTGCAATGAATATTAGCATTAATATTAAAAACTAAATATATATTATAAATTTTAATCATATTCCTCAAAGTTTATTCAATTCATTCTATTTATTACCCTATAATTATTGTTGCAATAAACATAACAACTAATATAAATTATAAATTTTAACCGTGTTGGTCTTATGTTAGATAAGATAATCACTTTAGATATTAGGTATTATATAATAAATATATAATTTTAATATATAAGATAATAATATCATAACTTATATTTTTAAATTATATTTTGAAATAATTTAATATTTAATTAAAAATCTAACATCAAATCTAATACTATAATAAATTAATATGTGTCTGATATATAAAAAATTCATGGAAGAAATACTAATATAAATGTTAACCTTTTAGTGTAGTCTAGAAATAGCATATAAAATTATCATAACATCAAGGTTTTATATATCGGTTATCAGGGATTTATCGGACGGTCAAAATCCATATCGAATAGCGAATTTTGGGGATAAGTAGTATTTATTGGAATGACATTATTGAATGGTGATATATACAATATAATATTCTAAAATGTAATCTGACCATTCTTAATGAAATATAAACATACCAAAATGTAAATAATTACGTTTAGGATCATTAACCAATGGTAGAAACTCGGGTCAGGTTAAAGCAAGGTTTCAAATGTCGGATGTCGGGTTCATGTCGGACGGCTGAAATCCATGTCGGATAGTGGAAATCGAGGATATATCGGAGGACATGAACTAAATATCAGATTGCCATATCGGGTGGTGCGCATATGTATAATATCATGTCTTAAATGTAATCTAAGCATTCCTAAATTCAATATAAGCATACTTTATAAATTCTAGAGATGACATCGACGATGGGTAGATTCTGACGTTGTAGGGAGGCAGTGCCAACGACGGGACGTCGCAAGGAGGTAGTGTTGGGGTCCTTCGGATGAGTCACCGACCACCCACTTCCTTTATCCCGATGACAGGATATCATGCCGTCCTCGATTTCGATTAGGGTTCGAATTTCGGGGCGCAACGGGAGATGGACGAAGGGGGGGCGAATGGAGGTGGGGGAAGGGCATCATCATTCACGAAAGGAGTGATAGGTTCCCAAGTCCGCTGCAGCCCTAATTTTTCTCTTTTATTTCTATCGGGTTCATAAGAAACCCTTAAATATGAGAACATGTTAAACGGGTTTGGATTTTTATCACTAAACTCAAACCCGATAATAAAAAATAGATTAAAAAAAAGGGCTATATCGATCGATTTTTCAAAGCTGAAAATCGCCCGTGCCGATATGGCCCCGATATTTCCGATTTGACCTTAAAACCGACATGAGTTGAAAACACCCATGTCGTGTCGCTCAATCCCTTAAACCGACATGCGAACATGTCGGCCGACATTTAAAACCTTGGTTTAAAATGCATTGAATAGGTACCCATTACCCGAAATCAAAACTCAAACCAAAGACCGATAATTTTAATTTTTGAGCCAACAATATCGGCTGATAACTTACTTTATTGCCGCATTATCGACGATAAATATCCAAAAACGATAACTGATTTATAATCGAACTTATTATAGCGGAAGGCCCCCAAAACCAATAAATCGCCGATAATATCAGTTAATCGGTCGATATTTAAAATATTGCATAATATGCATTACTAACTGTTGCTATATACTCATCATAATATTTGGATACAAGGTAATCCTGAGCATGCAAAATTCCAAGCTGTGTAGGAAGCTATTACATTTGCTCGTGACACTGGACATGGGAAGAAAATTTTGAGATATCCAAAATAAAGCGGAGTAACACTCGATTTTAGGACACTTTGTGGATGATATTCAGTGATGTTGCACATGACTTGAGGAATGGGATTTTCATGTAATTCGTCAAACAAGGAATGTAACGGCTCATGTGTTGGTCCAAAGAGCTAAGGAAATTTATGATTTTGAGGCATGGATCAAAGATCCACCACTATTTTTGCACAATATTCTGCAGTCTGATAAGGAGCAGCGTTAATCCACATTCTTTTGATGTGCTTCTGGGTTTTCAGTTTAGTTTGAATGTGTCTTAATAAATTTTTTCCCATAAAAACTATTACAATATAATAATTAGATCCTAGCTAACAAAGTAATTTATAACATCTGCCCTTCTGAACCTACTAAAAAGCATTTAATATGAATATTAGTGAAAAAATGAACCCATAATTAAAGCATTCATGTATCTTTTCTCATTGACTAATCAAATTCTCTTAATTAATTATGCACTAATTATTTCATGACTAATCTACTTCTATAAAAACTCCACTTGGATCTCAAGAGTTGCACAAAATTATATTATATATGGATGCTCAAATGCACAAAAGAAAACACTAAAATAATAACAATAACAAGTGAGAATTTTTCTAGTGGAGTCCCTCGATTATAGTAACCATGATACCTCGCAGTCAACAAGATTTCACGGGTGATAATTGAGAGAAAATTGTATTGTTTTTCTTTGGAGGAAACGAAGAAATCGACAACTGATTTTACCTCCAATTTATGAAAAAAATGATCTATTAGTTTTAAATTATGCACTAATTATTTCATGACTAATCTACTTCTATAAAAATTCCACTTGGATCTCAAGAGTTGCACAAAATTATATTATATATGGATGCTCAAATGCACAAAAGAAAACACTAAAATAATAATAATAACAAGTGAGTAAGTGAGAATTTTTCTAGTGGAGTCCATCGATTATAGTAACCATGATACCTCGCAGTCAACAAGATTTCACGGGTGATAATTGAGAGAAAATTGTATTATTTTTCTTTGGAGGAAACGAAGAAATCGACAACTGATTTTACCTCCAATTATGAAAAAAAAATGATCTATTAGTTATACAAGTACACAAATTCGTGGAGAGAAAAACTAATATAAATGTCAATAAATTCATGACTAATGGGTGGTTGGGGCTCCGTTTGAGTCCTCATCGTTGTTTCAAAAAACAAGTCATGGCGAGTGCAATATTACTCTGCCTACGTATGTTTAGTCTCATGACGTTACTTAAAATGCATTACGTGCAAAACACGTGTTGCATACTAGTGATAAACAGAATGGATTTCAGAGTGCAAAATTAAGCATTGCAAATATCCAAGTAAAGGTTTGAACAAGGTTATTGAAAGCGAATAGCGTCAAATAGCGGTGAGGCATCACTAAGGCTATTTGGGGCTATTGCGGCACAATAGCGATAAAAAGCAAAGTCAAATAGCGGTCTAATTTAGATATGTATAAATACTAAAAAAAAGAAAGATTAAAGAAAAGTCCAAAAAATCTAAAAGTACATATTTTATGATTTAAAAAGATCCTAAACTTAAAATAAACATGTAACCATCACGTAATACCGAAGATGACTAGAGAAGTTAAAGACTCATCGTCTTCGAGAGCTGAGCAGTGAGAGGACTGCCCTAAGAGGAGCTCATGGTGAAGGAGATGAAAGGAAGTACTGAGGTAGGTGTTAGAGGCTATGAGATGTGGCAGAAATATGTCGAAAATCACATGAGACGGTAGAATGCGATGGTCAAGGGTCAGGTTTAATTTTAAAAAGATAAACCTCAAACCGCTTTTAAATAGCAGTCAAAAAATGAATTTTGCATGCAATCGCCCACTATTTACCATTATGGCACACTATTGGTCATTTTTGCGAACGAAAAATCCATATTCCGCAATATGTCACCGCTATTGGGCAATAACGTAACGGAAAGGGACCGCTAACACTATTAGCGTCGTTATTACGGGATTATTTACCGCTATTTATAACAATGGGTTTGAATATGCCCATGTGTAACAAACACAAGATCTTATTCGCTATGATAATTCATCTGATCCACTGAAAAAATAGTATAGATATGGAAAACACGTAAGATACTATGAAAAAATAATTGTTGCAATGGCATCAATTGGCTCTCATTATATAACAAGTGATTCTAATTGTTATGCAATAAACTGAAGGTTTTCTACAACTATTTTACTAAAGAGATCGCACAAATACATAGGTTGATCATCAATCTTGTGAAATTACATATCAATCTCATAGCTTAATTGCTCTCAGAAGCTTCAGCATATGCCGAATAGTTACCAAAAGGTTTTTTCCCAAGAAATCACCTTAAAAATAAGGTCATTATACTAGAACCACCTTTTATTTTCAAATTATATATAAACTTACATTCAAGATACATGACTCAATTATTAGATCTCGTTAGGATATAAGTCACTTACCTTAAATATGTGTTTTTTAAGCTTATTTTTAGCTTTTTAGTGAAAATTTGACTAGGAGGTGATTTATTAGAGTAAAACCCCACTTTAAAGATGATTTATATATAAATTAAAAATAAAAGGTGCTTTCTATCAATGTAAAAAAAACTCATTTCGAAACATGTTTTAACTCGTCTTCAACACCTAACAGAGCCAAAGTATTATAAAACTCAGGCCGAAAACCAATGTTGCATTTAACGCGGAAAATAACACAAAAAACACATTTTATCTATGTTACATTAACCATTATTTAATACTTGTTAAATTGAGTTGCATTGGTGATGTGATCAGATTTGAATTTGTGATGATATCTCCACCATCTAAATCAATATCACGCTAACGTAAATTAGTTCTCATTTGAATCCCCAAACCACAATTCATATGCGTAAAAAACCCTAGCGATCCCCGAACACCATCTCCAACGTATTTCCTATCTTCAGCCCCTCCATCTCCTCTCCTTCGACAAAGAAACATCTCGATCTCTTCTCCTTCTCGTGCCCTCAACAAAGACGAAGCCTCTTGCCAATGACAATGCTCCTCTAGTCCTCTATCTTCGCCAACGACAAGGCTCCTCTCTGGTTCCTCCTGGGCTCCCATATCTCCTCTCGTCAATGAAGAAAATGCTAACCACATCTCCACCATCGCCTCTTCAACTTCCAAATTATAACTTCTTTAGACGAAGATGAAGCCTTCTAAACCCTAACTTTTGTAACTCTAACAGTCCTCCTTCATGTTTTAAAATTTTGATTATTTTAATTATAAAGTCATTATAAATGGTTTGTATTTATGAAATATCTAAATAATTAATAAACAAAATAACCTAAACATGAGGAAAAGAGTTACATTATGCGTTATCGTTATTTTTAACATTGGTTTCTATATAATAACCCTATTTTTATGATGGTTTCTAGGTAAAAAAACATTACCAAAACTATATTAGATTGCACAAGTTATAAAGACACCAAAACATTTTGGCCATATTTGGAGGCTATGTATTTTTTTCCCACTTAAGTGTGAATGCTCATTCCCCACCATCTCATTGGGGAACAAGTGGGGAAAGTGGGAATGGACGTTCTAGCCTCCAAAGAGAGGTTGTGTTTGGTACAAAGGAATGAGAAGTGGGAATTGTCATTCCGTTCGCACTCATTCTCGCGTACTAAACGAAGCATTAGTGAATTAAAGGAGGCCAAAAATCATTGCCAGGTCAACTACCAGATAAAACTCAGGACAACATAGTTGTACATTTCTAGCAATGCGCCAGACTCACTACAAGCTATCGTCATTTTCACACACTTTTTAACCAAAACATAGTTCAGTCTATCAAGTCCAGCTAACAAGTTGAAGATACATTTACTAAAGCTCCAAGATTTAAGCACTAGTTCAACATGTCTCGGCAGACATCAATAGTCCGACTAGGGATGGAGTGAAGTAAGAAACGGGGTCTTCTCATGTTTTACAAGGGGAATGCTACCTAATACCAAAGTGCATGAAATGTTCTCTCTACCTTGTGCAATATAAAAAATACACAATGTGAAATTCACTTAGCCTATTTGCGAAACCACCTTCCTTCTCAAAGGCAAAGGCTAGCGAGATCCCACAGCAAATCATAAACAGTGTCACAAACCGCACAAGTACTCAATTCCTTCATTCACATCTACAACAACTAACATGCGCAATTCCAACAATATCAAATCTCCAAAAACCTCACAAAACCAAGGACGAAATCAAGAGCTCACCTTTAAGTGTATCTCCCCAAACGTCTTCCACCTCCCTGCCCCTGCGCCCGCACCCCGGCCACTGCCCGACGTCAGACTGCCTCTCTCTTCCTCACTCTCCTCACCCGAGATCTTCCCCAAGTAACCCGTAACTTCCCCCCTCCACAGACCGAACCCCACTGAGCATCTTATCCGGCCCCTTTTTGTCTGGGATGAACGCGTGCTTATAGTAACTCAAAACCCCGTCCCTATAGCCACAAACCACCTCGCTCCTCCACTCCTTTCCCATAATTCGACCGCATGTATACAAAAACCTCCGGCGCCCACCACCGCCGCCGGCCGCCGTTTCCCCTCCTCCTCCAACACCACAGCCAGGCACGCCGTCTCCGCCGCCGCCGCCGCCGCGATCTCGTGCAGCGAGTTAGGGCTCTCCATGAGGGCCGCGGCCGCCACCCGCAGCCGCGGCCAGATCGCGCGTCGCCCTCGCATCGATGGAGACGGGGGCCGATGCAGCAGAGGAGGCCATTCATGGAGATTAAAGATCGGGAGGGAGAGGAGCTTAAGAAGAAATGCGGAGCAAGTTAGGGTTTGTTGAAGCTAAAAGATCCATTTAAATTCGGCTGATCGGGAGACTGCGCCGCCTGGCCCCCTGCTGCAGTAGTAGTACGCAGTTGAGCCAGGCCAGGAGGAACAGAACGGGGAGAAAAAAGAGAGGTCCGGAGCAGAAAGCAGAAAGGGCGGACGGGGAAGGGGGGGGGGTTTGGGGATCGGGTTTGCGGGTGGCGGGACTGCTTCACGGGGCGAAGGCGAAGGGTTGACCGGGAGGGACACCTGTCTACGTACGCGTGAGTTCGGACGGGGTAGAATGGCGACGCGAGGACCGGTCGATGGGCAATGGGAGGGATGCGGTGTGTGTCGGACTCGGGAAGGCGCGGTTTTAAGGGAGAAAGGGACGGGTCGGGAGGAAAGGAAAGAGGAGTGCAGACAGTAGAGTCATCGGATGGCCGTCTTTCCTCCTTTTCATTTTAATTTTAATTTTAATTTTAATTCGATTTTTGTCCTCCTCCGAATTTCTCACTTTGTAAAAAAAAAAAGGGGCTACGCTGGGAAGGTTGGAAAAGTAATCATACGACATATGATTTACATGGTAGAAACTTACTTACGAGGGCTAGAAACATATTTGGGGTTTATGATTGCATTGATTATGTAATGTTTGTATTGATTCGATATTCTGTCTCTACTGATAAGTTAACCTTTTATATGATTTCATTAAGAGTGCGGCATATGAAGTCTCTTGTTAAGTGATTTTATGTAGAGTGTCATCTTCGTTAAGAGAGAGTTTGCACGTCACATATCTAATATGGCGTTATTATTTGAGAAATTTGTGTCAAGGCCCCGTAAATTGAAAACTCATGTGATCTAGTCTCCTAGTATTATGGCCGACGTGTATGAGCGCCAAGTACATGAGTACAATGTGATTCACATCTTTATACAGGCTCTGTTGAGTTAAGTATGAAAAATCCCCAAATGTCCCCTGTCAAATCCCCCATTTAATTTGTAACTGTGCATCCTCCGATTAATTCCACTGATAAAATCTCTCTCTCTCTAGGACCTAACTCTATTCCATTTCCTTCATAATTCCCCCCTCCTCCGCTCCCTCTCTCTCACGATAACTTAACCCCATATCTCCATTAATATCACTGATTAAAAGCCTTAATGGATCACCGCTGTAGAGATCGATCATTCATCGTCTCTAACATCCAACAACCCTAAAAATATCTCTCATTT